GAACAGTATTATACTATAGTATGGTCTAGGCCATTGAATTGGTTTAATTTCTTTCTGTGATTAAGGCCTAATCCCTACCGCTAAAATATGACTAACTAGGCCTGTGTAATATTTCTGTGAGGCCCCATGAATTGATAATATTCCAGGTATTCTAATTTTTGGAAAGAAATACACACAGGGACAACTTATTTTTTCTTGCATTGCTTGTACCATGAAGGAATTAGTTGTACGGACTGTATTTTGCTATGATGTGTGATTACAGACAGGACCCACACTTTGTCGAGATTAATACAAAACATAGCTGAAATTATGCATGACGTCAACATACGAAGCCACGCCCCCTTGGCTGAACCCGTTGTATTTAGCAACCACCAGCAAATTAAAGATGGCGGAAAAAGTAAATCCGGTGGAGGAATGATGGGTACTGCTATCACGAGATAGGGGGCGCTCTATTGAAAATCGAATAGCGTTAGGAACTCTTACAAAATTGCGTTCGAAACTCGAACATGCGTTATAGAGACGCAGCACCCGTTAGACATGAACGCCTTTTACAGTCATTTGAAGGCGGTCCGCTAGAACATGGTAGTACTTTTCGAGATCAACGATATAACGCGGTAACTGCAAGAGTTACTCGTTTTTGATTTCACCTTTTAATCTTCACGTCTAAAAACCCAATTTTATAGTAGTTTATGAAATTATTACCAAGACCGTACCTAGGGTGCTTGGAAACTTGCAAATTTACTTTGCTATTTACTTTTTAGTATATTGTATATTATTAATATTCGTATAATGGCTCTAGCCTTGGAAAGGCCTAGACCTTTACCTACCGTGCTAACACCTGTGGCCTGCTAATGCTGCTAACCTGTAACATCTGAAAACCAAAATAGACTTAGATAGGCCTAGGGCCTAGGCCTAGGCCTTTAGAGTTCTTAAGAATTTCTTCTACACTAGACCCTAGTACTAGACTAGTCCTAACTATTACCAAAGGCCGTTTTTAGACCTAGGCTTAGATAGCAAACTTGCAAAAAAATAGGCCTACTTTAATAATTTACTAAATTAATTGACCTTGGCCTATAGCCAGCTAGCCTTTACCTACCATGCTAAATACCTGTGTGTCATGGCCTACTAACCATGACTTGCTAGGATAAGGCCAGATTTATTTCCAGAAATACTAAACAAAGGCATGCTATTTTTTTCCTAGGGTAAAAATATCCATAAAATAGACACCTCCTTCAGAAATTACATTGCATGTCGTAGGCCTATCCCATTAAACAAAACATTTCCCCTAGGGGAAATCCACATACATGTTCGAAGTTAACATGTACGCCACCAAATTTGTGCTTTACATTCATATATTTGATTCTTATATATGTTCATTTTCAGCCTTTCGATGTCAAACATTAATTGACCTGTCTCTTTCTTTGCAGTGATGACATCACACTCGGATAAAGTACTCCGAGTTTGAATAAAGGGCAGAAATTTTCAAGGAGATCCACGCTGGGGGACTTTAGGAGGAAAACTCATTGAATCGCTCACTGAATATGGACTCCGAGTTCATTTCTAAAATAACGATTGTTTAGGTATTAGGCCTTGCATTATTTTGTTACCTACACATCTAGATGTCCCCCCCCACATTATTATTATCATTGCATTTAATCATGTATATGTTATGTTGCGTGAATATCTATGATGGCGTATCCGGCAATAAAATAAATTAAATAGAATGGAATTGAATAATAAAGTATTTTTAGTGTAATATAATGTATATTGAATATTGTTATGAAAGATTATTTTCATGACAAATCCAGATATACAACAATAAATACACACATCTGCATATTGAAGAACATACGATTAAACTCAAAAACAAAATTTCCTGTATATTAGGCAGTAGACACACGCTCCCGCAGGGAGCCTATTTTTTATAATTGGAATCTATTAGTTGCTGTACGCTGGCTACATTGATAAATCAAGACAATTTAATTATAATATATAAGTACAAACCGATATATACCATTGTAAGTTGACTGTTCAGCTTCGATTGTCCATCGCCATACGCCTTCGTTCTTAATGTCATTTAATCCAATCCAAAAACTATCGGAACAAAGATCGTTTACAAAATCGTGTTCTACATTCGATGAAATTGTTACGAGGCTTGCATTATTATCCTTGCAACTTTGAAGTGCATCAAACCAATTAACTGATTCGTAGAAGTATCTATAGCAACTGCGACTTAACGGATACCACAGATCTTGACAAGTCCCTGTGGAAACAACAAAAATCTAAAATTCAATATCTTTAGAATGATAAACTCTTCAGTTACATAAGCCTCACAATGTTGTTTTTACCAAATGAGGAAATAACTGTGACGATATTCGGTGGGGAATAATGACGAGAATGAAGTACAGTACAACTGGGTAAACTGCTTAACTACGTACTTTAATAACTAAACTCAAGATGGCTGACTAACCATGCCATGCCGTACAACGTCTGGTGATCATAAACTAAATGACTTATTAACAATGGGGGCGCTATACCATTCTAGCGATGGTACTGGTTATTATCATTACATCCCCTTTACTGAAAGATAAATTCCCAGTCACTATTGCAATACAGGTTTGGTTAGAAACAAACTGGTATGACAAGTCAATTATGAATATATTTAGGCATGAGCATATGGAACAAAACATAAACATTGAATGACTTCTGACTTTAAAAGTATGGGGTGTTTTAAAAAGATTAATAGCAATAAAATGGCAAGAAATAACAGAAACTTTCACTTGTCTAGATTATCAGTTCAATTATAATTATAAGTTCAAAAGTCAAGCATAGTCAAATATGCAATAATGTTTAAGAATCATTTGTGTTTGCAATTCTCGCGGGTTTCCTAATATGGCGACTACTTCTGCGTAGGATAGATCCATCAGACAATTCAACATCGTACGATCTTGGCTCACTACGTTTCTTTAACACTGTCGCAGGTTCCCATTTGCGTAGATTCGCTTCATTCTTAATTACTCTAACGCTTTCCCCCTCTTTTGGGGCTTGCGACTGTTTCGCGTGTTTATCATAATAGCGTTTTTGTGTTGCTTGACGATCAGCGAGTGCGCTATCGACTTCGCTAAGACCGCTAGAGATTCGCATTGGCATGTTCGACTTGTAGACTCTTTGGTTCAAGATTTCGCAGGAGATGGGAGTCTACTGTCGATAGGCGTTGATCTGAGTATCAATAGAGCGCGTTGTGGGTCTTCCTTAGATTCAGTAGCTTTCTTTAGCGTATTCTTTACTGTCTGTACTTGGCGCTCAATGAATCCATTTGATTGACTATATCGTGGTGATGTCTTGACGAGAGTAATGCACCAACTTTCTGCAAATTGCTCAAACTCGTCGGAGTCAAATTGCGGACCATTATCGCTAACAAGTTCATCTGGGGTACCGTGTTCTGCAAAAACTTCTCTTAACACGTTGATGACTGTTCTAGCTGTAGTACCGCTGCGTAGATTTTTGACGATTGGAAACTTTGAGTAATAATCGCAGAGAATGAGGTAATTGGAACCATCAAGGGCAAACAAGTCTACTCCTAACTTTTACAACGGTCTGGTAGGTATTTCATGCTGGATTATTGGCCTCTTTTTGTTTACGTCGTGCATATTGTTGACAAATGTCACAGCTCTCGACTTTGGCTCGTATGGCATTGTTAATGTTTGGCCAAAATACCACTGTACGCGCTCGCAGTTGCGTTTTGGTAGTACCAAGATGCGCTTCATGTAGCTTGTCGAGGATATCCTGTCTCAAAGATTCAGGGATCAGGTAGCAAGTGCCCTTAAGTATGATACCATTTGACACAGAAAGCTCATCGCGAAATGACAAATACTGGCGAATTTACTTGGGGACCTCGCTTTGCGTTGCTGGCCATCCTTCGATCACAATGTTGCGTAAATTTACAAGCTCATCATCATCGTCGGTCGCTTCACGAATGGCACACTCTTTTGCTGCGGAGTAGTGTACGTTATCAACTCTGATGTCTAGCTTTATCTCATCAGCGTCATCTTTGTTTGGCATCCTGGAAAGACCATCTGCTAGCAGGATTTCTTTCCCCGGTTTATAGCGTATTGTGCAGTTATAGTGTTGAATGCGCAGGAGCATACGCTTTAACCTTGGTGGTGAAGCTTTCAGGTTTTTCAGACTGATAATTTCCAGTAGTTTGTGATCGGATTCAATTATGAATGGCTTTCCGAACACATATGTGTGAAATCGTTCACATCCAAAAACACATGCAAGCATCTCTCGCTCTATGTTGGCATATCGACGCTCTGTTGGGGTTAGGCATTTGGAAGCAACCGCGACTGGCTTGCCATCTTGAAGCAGGCAAGCGCCCAGGCCACGTGAAGAAGCGTCGACTTGAATAACACTGTCTTTAATTTTATCAAAGTAGCTTAGTTCAGTAGAAGCTGTGATTGCGTCCTTTATGCGTTGCATCGCTTGACTGTGGCTTTGCGTCCAAGCAAATGTCGCTTCTGATTTAAGGAGGTCGCGGAGCGGTTGAGTTAGGTCGGCTAATCTTGGGACGAATGATCCCATATATGTTATGATACCTAGGACAGAGCGGAGTTCAGATACATTAGTTGGGTCGGACAAGTTGGTAATCGCTTCAAGCTTCTTGGGGTCTGGCCTAACGCCAGTGTCGCTGTAAATCTGTCCGAAGAAACTGATTTCGCTCTATTTAATTGTACATTTTTCCGAGTTAAATGTGAGACCTTCCTCGGCAGCAACTTCCATGAGATTTTGCAAATTTAAATCATGGCTTACTTCTGAATCACCGTATACAGCAATGTCATCTGCTATGCCAGCAGCACCTGGACATCGCTCAAGGATCTGATCCATTTTGGCTTGGAATACGTCTTGTCTCATTTTAAGCCCGAATGGTAGGCGCTGGAAACAGAATCTACCGAATGGCGAATTGAATGTTGTAAGTGGTTGCGAGTCAGGGTGTAGTTTGACTGCCCAATAGCCATTCTTGGCGTCAAGCTTGGAGAAATACTTGGAGCCTGCAAATTTATGTGTAGTTTCTTCCAACGTTGGCGTATGGTGATGTGGACGTTGAATGGCTTTATTGATGTCTTTCGGGTCGAGGCAAATACGTAAATGACCGTTAGCTTTGCGTGTGTACGTGATACTGTTAACCCACTCAGTCGGCTCAGTGACTTTGCGTATTACACCTTCTTTGAGCATTCTATCGAGCTCTATCTTTATTTCATCGTGAAGCTGTATTGGGCATTTCCTTGACGAATGAATTACAGGTCTGGCATTAGGGTGAAGAGCAATTCTGTACTCACCCTTGAAGTTGCCTATTCTGTCAAACTGGTTTGGGTAGACTTGCTTTAGTTGATCTATAGACTCTATGAACGTAGTCTTGACAGTATCACATTTGATCGAGACTAGATTGAGCTCTCGCACTGATGGTAGACCTAGAATTACCGGACCATCACAATCAGCAACATAGAAATCAGCCTTGTGTTGTCTGTCGCTATGGCTGCAGTCGATAGTTAAGTGGTGGATCTCACTACTGTTATATGCAGTTAGCTTAGCGTTCGATGGTTTCAACAGGGTGTGCATCGAACCCTTGGGATACATTTTGCCAAAAGTTCTGACTGGAAGAACATTACCTTGTGCGCCAGTGTCTAGTTTGACCCTTAAGGTCGCTGGCGTACTGTCGCTTAAGTGAATATTCAATGTAGCAAACGCTTCATCTTTGCAAAGCTGATTAATATGGATATCATCGAAATGCAGCACATCACCACACTCAGGATTATCATATACGGATGTAGCCTTTAGTTTTATAGCTTTGTTGTGGTGCCTTTTTTTTCACACACTTTTTCCCAATGGCCTTTCACTTTGCAAAAAGTACATATTGCATTGTACGCTGGGCATCTGCCCTTTTGATGCTTCTGGCCACAGTATCGGCATGGCTTGCCTAGCTGTGGAGGTTTGGGATTTGCCTGTCTAGGTGGCTCACTGTTACCACGTCGTTTCATAGTATGAACATGTTTCTCTGGATTTAACACCATCATACTGGCTTGTGTGGCCTCATGCGTCCTAGCTTTATCTATTGCTTTGTCTAATGTTATTTCGCCGGAAGCTATCAACTTCTTTTGCACATCTACAGAATTTGTGCCTGTAATTAATTGTTCAATGATACGCTTATCGAATTCTGAACAACTTACGTTTTGTGCGTCGTCGTTGTTGCTTACTTGCGAGAATCTACACTTTTGCGCATGCAATCGTAGCTTAGCGACGTAATCATCTACCTTCTCGCTAGAGCCTTGCTTGAGTCTGCCAAATTCAAAACGCGACAATCGAAAGTTTGTCTTTGGAGTGAAATGCTTCTCTAGCCTTTCGAGTATCGAGCTAGGCGTCTCGTCAGCCTGTTTATGCTCCACGAATTAAAAATTCTAAGCCCTTCTTGGCCTAGCCAAATGAGAATGTAGGTCACCCGTGAAGGATCGTCCTTACAAACCTTCGCGAGAGGGCCCTTGAAAAGCAGCTCGCAATATTACTTGAAATTCGCAATTTCTGCCGACATATTACTTGACTTGTAATTAATGGTTGGCTTGGTAATCGAATCCCACCGCTGCCACCATGTGACGATATTCGGTGGGGAATAATGACGAGAATGAAGTACAGTACAACTGGGTAAACTGCTTAGCTACGTACTTTATTAACTAAACTCAAGATGGCTGACTAACCATGCCATGCCGTACAACGTCTGGTGATCATAAACTAAATGACTTATTAACAATGGGGGCGCTATACCATTCTAGCGATGGTACTGGTTACGATACGATACGATACGATATTTTTTATTGTCATTTGAACAACAGGGTACAAATGAAATTCAAGTGATTGATCAAGGTACAATTTCAGAGAGGAATAAAGAAAAAAGTAAACTAACAAAGAACTCCTAAGAGACATATTCAAATAACTTAAATCTAATGAATCATATTGAATTTATTGAATCTTAATGAATCTTATTGAATCTTATTGGTGGGTGTGGAGTCAGGGTCAGGAAAGATATCACCATGACCCTCCGGCTACAGGAATAGGGGACAGCGCTGCCCTGAATCTGCAAAAACAGCCAGAAACTAAAAAATAGCCTGGTAGTCACAGAGACAGAAATCAGCTAACTGTCTGCCGGTGGATCACAGTGAGTCTCCATATCTCCTGAAAAGTCCCCACCCACCAATAAGAGACAGCAACATTTCCAGAAATGACTATCTACTGAAATGTTTATTGAAGACATGAATGGAATTATGAACAAAAGAT